CACTTGATTAAACCTCAACCATGGTTTACCAAGAAGTGCTAGGTATCCTGCGTTGGTGTGCATCAGATGGAACAAAACATCTGTGGAGACACCAGCCACATCAACATGGGTTTTGACGTAGCCAAGCAAAGGTCGCCGCCCACCATCTGCCATACGCACCACAGCACCACTGGGACCCAAAACACGCAATCCACACGTTTTTGCTGCATCTGGTTCCATCAAGTTCAACATTGCTCCAGGGTCAATGATAACCCCTTGGCAGGCCCGATCAGCAATGTGGCAGTCAATTCTGATTGCCTTCTCAGTTGTCAATTTGTTGACCTCAGCTGCCATCACTTCTGGTGTTCTTGTGACTGGTTGTGTACTTGCGCCTGGTTGTGCACTGCTCATACCTTGAGGTTGTGAGCTGCCTTCCACATCCATAGCTTCTCCCTTTGGCTTTGCTTTCTTCGGCCTATCCAAGGCAATCCCAGTGCGCAATTCACGTTGCACTGTTGGGGATACTTGGAGCAGCTGTCCCAGCGAAATTGAAACCGGCAGATTGAACAAAGCTTCAGATACTTGGAACTTGGGTTTCCCCCGGCCACACACAATTTCTGTCAATGGAGTACGCTTCTTCCGTTCTCCCACACGCCTGACACGGACTCTTTTCTTGCTTGGTTCTTCTTTGTCCTCTTCAATCGCTTCTTCACCAGCAAATGCTTCCAGTTCCATTGTCATAGCATCATGGCTTCCTTTGCCATTCACACAACGACCTGACGATTGTCGTTGATGGCTCTGAGATGGATCATCAGGACCCCGAATGTCCTCAGCTCGGACATTTGCAGCCGTTCTAAGAGGTGTCGCATTCGCTCCCGTCAGTGGCTGACCTCTACCAACATTGTTTTGGTCATTGTCTTGATGCCAATTGTTGTTGTAGTCAGCTCTACCACCAATTTGATTCTCTCTCCAAGTCATGCGTCCTCCACCTCTTCCACGACCTCTGCCACGATTGGCTGGCCCCAAATTTCCAGGAAAAGGACTCGATTCTGCATGGTCTTTCGAGCCCATCGATGTGACCATCATGGCAGTGAGCTCACTCATTGATTGTGTCAACTTCTCCACGTTTCGCTGCAGCCCATCAATGTCGGTTTTGTCTGACGTCATGGCCCGACTTCTCATGAGCTCACCAGCTGCTGGCAACTTCCCTTCCATGAGAAGCGTTGCTTTCTCTACTCGCTTGGCTTCTGCCACTGCATAGTCAAAATCAGGAATATCCGCTTTCAGAACATCCAGGCGGAATTCCTTCTTCAAGCCCATGACCCAATAACATCGAAGTGCACTGATGGGAAGTGCATCCCCATCAAGTGCTTCCCGCTCAGCATGCAAACATCTGTACCTCTCGGCATAAGAGGCCACTGATTCATCCTCAACTTGTTTGGGTCATGCAAAGCACATTCGATCTGTTCCAAATACCCAGGTGCTCTGAATCTTGTGACAAATACAGCTTCAAACTCATCCCATGTACGTTCGTCACCTTCCCAATGTGCTGCTCTACTATTGTACCATGTCTCTGCCTCTTGTTCAAAAACTACAGTAGCATTAGCAATCCTTGCTGCTGACGTGTCCCAGCCATTACTCCTTGCTACCCGTAGGAAATGCTTGACCCATACCCCTGGGTCCTCTCCCCTTCCTGTGAAAGGACGTGCCTTTGGTTTGACACCGTGCACCATGCTGCTTCAATGTACTAGCACTGCCACATGGGCCGCTCGCGTCCTGCCACGCTGCTCGCTTGACACCAGCAGCGACGCTCCACCGTATCAGCGCGATGTGTCACCTTGTAGGATTACACCGTCGGCTGACACAAGCTGACACAATCTGACATGAGCTGATACAAGCTGACACAAGCCGCTGTCCTGCTGACTCCCTGTCATGCAATCCTCGCTGTGGGGACGTGTGTGCTGTGTAGCAAACACGTGATCCCTTGGACACCTCAGCAACCGCAATGAATCGCTGACACCGTCACAGCACAGCACGTCGTACTACTCCAAGCCGTAGCACAGCACTACGAGAGCGGTGCCGCACTGCGCGTCGTCCCTTGGGAGGAGGCTCAATCAGTCAGCGAGCTGATCCCCTTGGCGACGGCTGAGCCACTCTGCTATGGCGCACCAGTGACACGTTGTCGCCCTGCCCGTTGAACTCACTCACAACGTACGATTCGCTCCGTATTCAAGTCAACGGTGGAAACCTTGACACAAAACTGACCCCCACGCCTAGCGACAGGTGTTTGCCGCTGGAGCTCCTGTCCAAACACTCCAGAAGGGCCACACGAAATGGACTCTGGGCCGTTAGAGTCCCTTCGTAAGCAACCGTTCGATGGATGTCTTGAATCTTCGATCCCAAAAAGTTTCTCGGAAACGTCGCCTGGGCAACGTAGAACTCTAGTGCTCTCGGCGCTCAACCCGCCCCAGGTTGCAACAGGGTAACCTGGTCCGTATCTCGACTTGCACACCCCCTGCCTCGGGTGCCAAATGACGAAGGCAGGCAGGGTCGAGGGGTGGCGATCCCTGAACGGGAATCGTACGCTCAAGTCCACGGCAACGGTTTGCAGCCGAGGCAAAAGGACAACAGACGTTCTGTCCTTTATACCCAGTCCGTTCATCAACATCCCTAATGCAATCCTTAGTGCTTCGTCATCTTTTCATACATTTAGTTATTAATAACACTCAATCAGTTCTAGCCGTAACAGTAACCACAATGTGATTGAAACTCATTGCATTTATTATTGTTCGTTATTGTATTCATTGCATTCATTACTGTTCATTGTTCATTTGTGCATTGCAAGTGATAAATGGCAATCGCTCACGACATCTCCTGAATGGCCACACCGATGGATTGCACAAGTCACGATTCAAGCCCAGCGTGGGCCCTAACGGGTGCAATGGGGTGCGGAATATCGCGCCACATCCGCCCACCTGTGCAAAACGCTCTGGCGATGCCCAGACGCTTGCCCGCCGCCCTCAGAGGAATCCTCAGCCGAATGGGGGTCCTCAGCGCCCCAGGTGCCATGTTTCGCACGCCTGGGGCGCGGCTGGCAGCCGTTCCTGGCGGGGGACAGGCCTGATTACTCATGGGCACAAGAGCTGTTGTGGCCATCAGTAGCTGGCACAAGGCGCTCTTGTGCCATCCTTGTGCCGTCAATGCCCAGGACTTGCCCACCTTAGGGTTGTACCCTTACCGTTGGCGTGTATTGGCAGTGGGGCCGTCGAGAGATGCTGTGCTCACATCAAGCTGCCCAGCTGCGCACAGCTGATGAGGAGGCTGCAAGCCCTCATCCGTTGCCAAAAGAAGGCGAATGACGACACCGTTAGGAGAGGCATGCGCCAGTAGAAAAGGGCGTTCTGCGGTGCCGTTTCACGCCAATTGATGCCATCACACGTATAATCGTGCCACTGCAATTACTGTGATGGCGCCATTTTGTGTCAAAATAACATCGCAGTTCGCGTTGCGAGCATGGTGTTTTCTGATACTGATGGCGAGGTCCCGGAACCTCCAGATCCGGAGGGCCAATGGCGCCCAACGGCGAGAAAACGACTTTCCTCCGATCTCAATTGCGACGCCATTTGATGCTAATTGATGCCGTCGCACCTACTTTCATTCAACCGAAATCGCCGTGATGTCTCCATAGCCACTTTGTGTCAAAACGCCGTCACAATACTGCGACCACGAGTTGGCATCCTAGAAGCGACCTCCTTTAAGAAGTACTGCACAACACTTCTCATCATGTACCCTGGATGCGAACATCCCCTACCTTATCGCATTTCATATCTAGGGGCGCAGGGCACTGCGTCGAAGCACAGCACATTGTAAGTTATCTTCGCTTTTCGTCAAATTCATGTACATCTACGATTTAAATCGGTACTAATACGGTATCGATACCCCGTAAAATACCCCGTTCTACTAAATTTGGTGCTGGCCCATTTGGATACAACCAATTGACAATTTCGGGGATGGTTGGAGGAGTACAGAGACCGCATTGCCCAATTACTTGGACGTTCTGCGGTTTCTCGGCCGTAGATTACGACCGTTGCAATAGTTAAGAAATGTATTGAACAACGTTACAACTATTTGCTGTTATATTGTTGCCATTTGTTTCAAGAAGCGCGCAACTCACACGGCTGACGCAAGCCACATTCAGGTCAGGCATGCGACCGGTTGGGAGCAAACATACACAGAGGAAAATTGTGAGCAGTGGAGAGAATCTGCAGCGCAGATTTCGTGCACGCAAAACACGGCTTCCTTCCCTCAAGGTTCCGGCCGGTCGCGGCGTCATCCGTCGATCAACAAATTGACGAAAGTGCGGTGAATTGCCTCATTCGAAAATGGAGTTGACGGAGGCTCGAGTTGGCGGGGGTTTGATCGCGACGCCTGAGCACGTTATGATGCTGGAAGTTGAAGGGTGTGCCCCATTGCGGAAGTTGATGCTGTGGAACAGACCCGTTGCGAATCTCCCCCCCCCACCACCACACACACACACTCCCACCTCCTCCACCCTTCCCATCCACCTCCACCCGTCCACCCCAATCTGCCTGCCGCAAATCTGGAGCTGAAAGGCTGTGCACCTCGAGCACATCGCCGTAGGTCATCGAGTGGTTGGAGGCATTGGGAATCAGTGCATTTTGGGCCGAAAGTGGGCCGATTACAATTGCGAGCAAGATGGCCACCTTACACAGCACATTGCTTACAATTTAATTGTAGTTGTTCAACGAAAAGCACCATTTTATTCGCCACAGCACCTGCCCATAGATTCTCGGAAATGGTAACGGTTACACATTGCAACTGCCACAGAACTGGAGGGGGCAACACACCAAAAGCAACATTGGCACAAAAAACGTGTTCTTCATGCCGCGCATTAAAAATCTTCGAGAAAAATGATACGCAATCACTGATCCGCAGGATGCGATCCCCAAATGTCGGCTGGAAGCACCACCCAACAAAAGATGCAAACGCATCAACATTGTTCAAGCAAGCTGGTCCGGAAACTGGAGGCTGTCGACCAAGATGTACTCCATGGCCCGGCCGACCGAAAACGCCTTCACATGCACCACCTCCTCCACAATCAGCGTCGGCACCTTCACCACCGCCACGCTTCCATTCTTGGGATCGATCTCTACCGACAGTGCCAGTTGCGTCGAAGCCCAGACGAAGGGATTCACGTCACTACAGGGCACGTCGCCGCATTGCTCCTGAGGGACAAATTTGACGGGGCGGCCTCGAGCCTCGAACCTCTGCTTGGCCCGCCCCGTGGACCTCAGCAGAGCTTCTTCAAGGGCGGCGTTGTTGAGGCCCGTCGCGCTGAAGTTGGACGCCGCACATGCCTGCATGGGATCTGCTTGGCAAAATCCAATCGGTGAGTTCGTGGATAAACGCCATTTGTCCTGTCAGAAGCACACCTTGAATACTGCAGGGCGAACTCAAAAACAGTGGCGGGAAGTTGTATGCTTGTTTTGTGTATTTGTTCGTTACTGTCCTTACTATTTGTTCTTGCTACTCTTTTCTGCGCACATGGCATGTTAAATTCATTGTTTGCGAGCTGTCAGAAAGCGCAATTTACTTGGTGTGATGCGCCAGCACACACGCTGGAGTGTGCAATGCGCATCCCCCTTAGTCCTCGACCGAAGATATTTGAAAACATGAGACAGTACATTACATGTTGCGCCAATAAGATTTTAACAAAAAGCTTGGCTCATTTAACTTGAAAAATATCATTTGGTCATAGAATTCGAAAAATGATTCTAAACCCAACAACTTATTGGATGGCAGGAGCGAGGTGCCAGAAAGTGTATCAGAATGGGAAGTTTTCTATCAAATTGGACACGCTAAGGTTCTGGCAACCAAAAACGGAATGGTATACCTGCAGATCAAAACTGCAGCTGCAGATTTGGGCATGTTATGTCTGGAAATACTATACGACTCTGCCCCTGTCTCAAGCGCGAAGTCCTTGTAGCAGGTATGCACAATACCTAGGAGGCGAATGAGATGCTGATCTCAGTATATTCATGCAGGATATGACCAGCAGATGTCCTTGAGATGCATGGGATTTACCCAACGAAATGGTATGAAGATCTTGTCCGCAAATGCAGGCACAATCTGCAGGCCATGGCCTTGCTACTCGATGGGCTTTTATTAACGTTGAATGAAATTACGCACCCCCTGCTTTGATGTGTATAAGGGAAGACACTATTTTGATTTTGGTACGCTTAACGTCAAATTAATGGGGGGGGGGGACCCAGCCATTGACGCTAAGAGACTGTGTAATTGCACTAAAATCAAAACAAGGTGGGAAGATGCACAAAAGCGCCGTTGATCAGCCACAAATAGCTCATACCTTGTTGCAAAACCTCCCTCAAAACTTTTCGTCTTCGAGGGAATCCTTAGAATGGATCAATTTTCAGGATTTGGAGCTGCTCCCATCAGTTACAATGCCTTTTAGAATCCCATTTTTCTAATCACTTCAATCGCCACAGTTTCATTGTTTTTTCCTTGAACTATTTGAAGTTGTATGGCATTGTTAGGTTATGTTCCTGAGTCATCCTGGAATCGAATAAGGATTGACGCTAAGAAGGGGGAAGGGGCGTGTGGGGGTGGGGTGTAAGATGGCATTACAGATTAACGAGGCGAAACCTTCCTTTTCCACCAATATTGCAGGTGCCATGGGGTGGGGGGTGGGGGGATATGATGGCATTACAAATTAATGAGGTGAAACCCCTCCGTCTCCACCAACATTGCAGGCGCTATAGGAGGAAGCCCCAGAACAACACAAGGCACAAAACAGGAGAGCACATTGTTGGTCCACCCATTGTTGGCTCACCTGAAATATTAGAAGACACTTGGACCAGGCTTGCGATCGACTCGCACGACGCCAGCTTCATCCAGTACTGAGAAGCAATCCCCACCATGGGCGAAGTCCCATCGACCATATTGCGGCGATAAATGAGGCACGAAGGGGTGACCAGGATACCCCCATCGGCGAGTCTCTCGAATGAAGGGCGACTACGTTGGAAGTACTCCAATGTGGTGTGCACCGTCGCCAATACTTTCACGTCAATTCCCTCCAAAGGTCTGAGCAGCTCGCCCTGAGCCTTGGAACAGAACGCCTCAGCCACTCTGGCTTCTCCGGGGTGGGCAACTTGCATCCTGAGAGCCAAATCACAGTAATGTGATGGGCGGAGCGCCTCCATTATTTTTGTTGGTATTCTTCTTAATTTTGTCGATGTTCTTTTCGCCAACAGGTGTTGCACGTGGTATGATATAATTTCAGGCAGTTATAAATGAATTCTGTACCCGCTGTGCATGTCAGAGTGTTTCCTGGCTGTAGTATAAGCCAGGCACAAGGCTACTTTGGACAACGATGTATATTCTTGGTATGCGCATCCAGGATACGGTGCCCCTGTGATCTTCGATATCTTGGATATGGAACATTCTCCTGATGCGGCAGTTACTCACCAATTGCAATGGATCATCGACTGACTGATTTCAACGTCTCGAGCAGCAACAAAAGTGCTTCCTTTGATTGCTACTTCAGAAAACATGCTCGCAACTGCCTTGCTGGCAAGGCCAGTACCCTTTTGGAAAAGGAACAGCGCATGTTGTACAATCGCTGCTCTGTGTCTGCAGAGTATTGTTGGAAGCGGGTAAGTTTTTCAATGTTTTGATTTTCCTGAAACGTACAAAGGCACGAACTGCTGCCACTCAGAACATTTCGCCTCTGGTGGTAATCGTCTCAAGTTCGCTGATGCTATTGCACAATTGACCCAATTGTAGTGCATGCTATGTCCACAATGAAAACTTTTGGCAATCAACTGCAGCTCAAGCACGAAAACAACGGTCTGAACCGTGGGAATTCTCTGACCTGGCGTCCATGTCGTTTCCGATTTGTTCCCCCCAGACTCCATAATTCACCAACCCGCCAGACAGGGCAATGCCTTCCTGTCGATCTCCAGAAATGGCCACCTCGTATGCAGCGCTCAAGTTCCCGTACCCCACAGCAATGGCGTAAGGTGACAGCATGTCCACTGCAGCTTTCGTGGCATTCCCCAAGGTCAGGCGATGCACCTCTCCAGCTTCTACACTCACATTTGCAAGATTGACGCCCATGAATGCCACAATGGAGGTGGCCGCGGATTCCAGCACAGATGCCAAGGCGATCTCCGGCTCGAGGTCCCCAAATTGAAACCTCGCACTGGCGTTCGAGAACTGTATGTGGTTCATTCCCTCCACAATGACCACCGGGGCCTTGGAAACAGCGTACCTGCAGTGAACGCAATAAACGCCGTTGCTTGGCTTACAGATCTTACAATGGATTGCAGCTTCCCATCACCTTGCGCGATCTTTGCCCACCTCAGGAGAAACGAGGGGAGCTCCATGCATATACACCACGAGGGAGTGCAGTGCGGTTGCAACAATAGTCCCAGTGCAGTCCTCATTCGCTTCGCTCAAGTTACCCACAATTCCATATTTACGATACCAAAACAGAAAGGCATTCAATTTGAAAACGGAATGAACACAGCAGTATCTGGTACTGTGCTTGTCCAATTCCGCAGGTGTGGCATGAAAACCTCAGATTGATATTAAAATATTCGGAGTTGTGTCGAACGAAATGGAATGCAATTGGCTGTGTACAATGCAGCAAAACAAGTGGCTCGTTTCAAAACTTGGCACAGAATTGTCACACAATGCCCATAGTTGCTTGGGCCAGGCCGCATCTAGATGCAAGCACACCGCAAGCAAGTAATAGGCAATGATGTTAATGCATCGGCAAAATGCGTTCCCAAACGCTGCAAAAAATTCTGCCTAAAAGATTGCCTCACCTGAGCCCTGTTCTCAGGGCGACCTCCACCATCTCCGTAGCAGCATATGCCAGCTGAGTGATTCTCACCTGGCCATCAAGCTCGCCCAGAATCTGCAAAATAGGAAGTGGGAACTGAGAAGAACTGGAGATCTGACCTGGAAGGGGAACCATGTATGCACCCATCATGATCACCCCTCTGGCGCTCTTCCACTCCGTAGTCAGCACAGGAACGGCACCTGCACTGTGGCCCGCCAAAAACACATTCTCGTAGCGTGTGGTATTGCCTGCCGCAATCAAGCCACAGTCAGCCTATGAGCTGTGTTGTTTGGGCATACTGGCCCCAAATTAAGTACTGGCTTTCTAGTTCTGTTTTGCGTACGCCATAAATGGCAGATACGTTCAGGATATGCCTATTTCTCTCCACGTCACTATTGCACACAGTGTGCAGCACGTGTATTTCTGCCAATGGCATTTCTGCATTACAGTATTATACTACATGTTGCTTACCAAGAAATAAAAAACAATTGCAAGCAGAACTGCCAAATATGTCAGTGAAGAAATTTTCTCTGTTCTCGACGGCTCAACGTGATTAATAACGTCAGCTGGCCAATGAAGCCTCAGAATGTAAAGAAATTATGGTAATTTTACCTATACAAGATTGCTGGATATTTTGGTTGCATGGAATAGCCATGGCAGCATCCCTCCACATGTAAGCACTTTTCGACTCTGTCAGTTTGAGCCTGGTACCAGAACAAATGAAGCAACCAGCCGTGCTCTTACACGCAATGTGGAAAACAACAAGATTTTGCATGAAGATGCGTCATGTTGTAAAGTGTGGAAGCAGTTGCAGAGGTGTCACTGTTGTGGTGTCAATACAGCGACAGCAATAGAACACAAACATTCTCATCAAGCTCCCAAGCGAGAATGCACATTGCCCCCCAAATATTGCAGGACTCCTTTCATGCTCTTGAGAAGCTGCTGCTCACCAATACTGTGCCCAGGCCAACATGTCCCCCAGTGCTGTGCACTGACAAAGTCATTTCCAGTCAGCCCCACGACTACCCAGTCATCAGCATCGCTCCGTGCCACAACTGTGCTGGTATACTACTTAGCAAATACCTCCAGCATGGCCGCCACTTTGCAGTCGCCAGTCAGTGGCCAGCCAGGCAGTGGGTGAGCACCACACTCTACATTTTGCCCCAAGGAAGATTCACTAGGTTTTCTCACTCTCAGCAAGGCAATCGGCTACAAATCATTACCAAATGATGGGAACAACAGCGCGGAATACCTGCCAGAAAGAAATTTTCCAACTTCTGAGCATTGCGACATAACCCAACTACATAGCTGGAATTTTTGTGCTCACCATATGCTTTGATGTCTGGTACAAAACCCCTTGCTGTTAAGTTTCCCACTGCTGTGTCCACTGGATCAACTTCAGGTTCAGCAAAATTGAGGCTCCAATCGATGGGAACGATGTACACCCAGAGTTCAATAGTTGCATTAGCCTTCCTCTGCACCACAGAACTGATATTCACAAGACTGACAATGGTCACTTAAAACGCAACCACAATTGCATTTATTAGATAGAGTTTGCAGCATGCATATGGCGAAGATTCGGTGTGATCGCTTGGTTCAATTTGCATCCCGTGTTACATTTGCACAGCAGAAACAGGGTGCTGTGTATGTATCGATGTGCATGGCTAGAATTGCGTTCAGTCTGTTATGCAGCACAAAAAGTTGTTGCTGATAATATCGTGATAAAACTTTTGCAAGCCCTGGAACAATAGAGTGGCTATGGCCATGCAACAATGGCAATGGCTGTGGCACGGCCACAGCTGCCATGCCAGGTGATCTGACGTGCAATTGACATCATACCAATTTGGATGAGCAAAACAATCTGTCCAGGGCTATAGAATGCATGAAAGTCTGGAAGGCCTCACTGTTTGTGAAAAATTTCGTCTGGCTCTAATTTAGAGCCAAGTGTGAAACAATAAATCTGGCACAATACTGGGCATGATGTGCAGGTATAACAACAGGCAATCAGCAGTCACCAGGGGTGAAATTGGCAGGAGTTCAAGACAACGATCAGCATCCTAAGCTCGTAGCTTTTTGCCCCCAGCATGTGGTTCATTCCGTGTTTCTGTAGATATGACCATGTGCTATGTGGGAACACATGCATGCACACACACATGTTGCCTATTATGTTCACCCATTTTTTTCAGGTCTGCACGCCACACATTTGGGAGCCACTTGCCATCTGCCAAGTTGCTAGTGTTTCACTTTGTTGTGCTATGCGCCTAGTGGCCCTCAACTACTATACAGGTACTATAGTAGTATTGTGTTGGGGGACAACATGAGCACGTACATGCATAGGCAGCAGTCACTGAGTTCACAAACGTAGTTGATTTATATGTCTGTGTCCACACCCTTGCAGAATGCGCAGAAACCAGGTATGCTGTCATCTGCAAGCAGTTGTGGGTTTCTCGCTCATGGACCCCATCCATGCAGTGCTGGCGGGCCATTGGGTCATCTTTCACGGGACCTAATGATGGAGATAGTTGAGTCTATACATGTGTACCAATGGCACAATTCATGAATGCTAGCTAATTGGTGAATAGATGGACTTCCCACAGGGTTGAAGACGAATGCGGCAACCATAGGGAGTCATGGACAAGAATGAGGTAATTATAGACTGCTAGCCTTTTTGAAGCCGCCTCAATATTATTGTTTGGCGACACGAACCACGGCAATCAATTCCATCCTGTGCACACCCTTTACACATATCAATTTATGCATACTTGTTGCTTTCTTGCCCACAATAGAACTTGCATTGTAGCCTGGTTTTCTATTGCATTCTATCACCAGAATTACATTGAGAAACTTACGCATATTTGTGCATTTCATGAAAATCTCCAAACTGTCCATGAATCCATTAGAAGTCACCATTGGGTTTCAACTGCCATCAGATGCCGTTGAGCCATGTTTGGATTTTTCTTGCCCATTTGGCGCCATCAATGTGAAAATTTGGTAATATTAGTCATCTTTTGTGACCAGGTTTTCATTTGTTGCCATCCGGCGCCACCCACAACAAATCTTTGCCATTTCTCCCCGCTCCCCAGGACCCGGACGCTGGGGGTCGGCGCACGGTCCTGGACGCCGTTGGCTACCGCGTCTTGCAAAAGATGTGCCGTCATTTGTCGTGCTTTGGTAACAGGTGCCATTGTTTGCCAGGGAAGAGGGCCTCAGTCAACATTTACCCACAATCCCCAAGTTTGGGAGCGCCTTAAGGGAACTCCAAGTGAGGCTGACCGTGGGAGGCGTATTTGCACCTCCCACTTCCACAGATTCAGCCCCTCATGGGCGCTGATTGTGGCCACCCCAACGGGCATTGATTGGCACTTACAGGTTCCCAAGTTCGTCCCCTGTGATGGGCCAAACTTTGGCCATGTTGGCCACCAGAGATAACCAAGGAAGGCTCATTTAAAATTCTCACACCTCTCTTCATTTCTGTGATTTCAAAGTGCCGAGCTAGCTAAACATGACAAAGACAACTGGGCAGGCTGTACACAGCTGGACACGCCATCAGGCGGCGATTCCCCCTCAGAAACTGCCATTGTGCAGCACTGGCAGCAATTGCATGCTGCCACACGCCAGGGGATCTGTGGTTGACGCTTTCTTCGGTTCAGTTGTGGAATTGTGCTGGATTTGTTGTAATAACGTCAAAATTGTCAGCTTGGCAAACCTATTAGTATATGTGCCGTCCATAGGCTTTTCTGTTGTCATATCTTAAAGTGGCATCTTGCAGCGCTGGCCACTAGAACACATTGCATCAAAGCTGCATGCACATATTTAATCCCCATCCCCTTCAAGTATCCCCATCACAGCATCCAACTCGCTCTCACAAATTGCAACAGCATCATGCAATAAACAATAATTTATTACCTAGTCTAATGTGCATGGCTGTCATTCCCTGGAATCCCTGATGCGCGTGAGCCTAAGCGCCATTTCGATCATCACACGCATCGCGTATGTCTTTGACAGCAACTTGCCACAGCGCTTACTATGGATCCGCCCGTATTTATTCAGAACCCCCTTGCATATACCAGCATCTTTACAGCCCAGCCTGCGGGCCCCAAGGGAGCGTTAATATCTGCAATTGAAATAGTTACCGTATTTACCTGGTATTAGTAGGCACCCCCTTTTAGTATCCACCCCCATCTTTGGGGGTCGAAACCACGTTAGTATCCATGACCCGGTGTTAGTATCCACCCCCAAACTTCAACAGAAACGAGCTCAAGAGGGCTCGTTGAACTCGCCTTAGGGAGAGGAAGTTATTTTGCATGTCTTTGCTTGCGCAGCACTCATATTGCATGCCTTCGATGTGCAACAGCTGCTGCAAACAGCTCACATTACAGTGCGATGCACTTGATGGCTGCAAGCTTCACAGCTTAAGCAGCTGATCCGATGGCGAAAGAAGTTGTTTGCTTGTCAAGCGGCTGCAGGCCAAGCGTCCATGGCACAGTTATGGGCCTGGAGTCAACTGCAGACCTGCCGGCAGGACTTGTTCCTGTCGCAATTCTCGCGATCGTGCTCACCTCCGCAGCCATCACGCTGGATCCCGCGGCACTCAGTTGCACAACAACGATTGAAAAGTGCATACGACCACTTCGACTATGCGCACCGTGGCTTATCAGCCACACACACACGTGCTTGCCCTGCCACACGCCCAGCCGCCAGCCCTGGCACTTCTCACAACCGGTCTCCATACACTCGCTGCCAAGCTCGCCCAAGCTTTCCTTCAGGTTGACTGGAGGCGCGCGAACCGAACCCCACGGCAGAGCTGCCGTCCACACGAACGTGCTGGCATCTCCCGTCAAATTTGTTGCAAATGTACATTTCATTTGCATCAAATCTGTTCTGCCACGCAACGCCAGTCTGGCGCTGGCGCTCCGTGCGCACTAAGCCGCCGCAACACCAGGCGCCGCCAAGCAGGCGCCTCCCACCAAGTGGAGGGGAGGCGAACATGATGAACCGGGCAAGAAAGGCCTTGCCAGAGGAATGTCGAAGAACGGGTGTCAAGAGTGTCAAGTTCAAATGGAGGCAATGGCCAGTGGCGGCAAGGCTTGAGGTGTTGGAAGCTTGGCGCTGCAATGAGGAGCTCCCGCAAGGCGAGAGAAAGTCAAAGCGGCGGTTTTGTGAGTTAAAAGGATTGCAAACCATGCAATTGAATCAATGGCTTGCGCAGAGAGAGCTTGCGCTTGGTACTCACTGTACCTCCAAGAGCATCCGATCTGGCGATTCCCAAGATCGTGGGAAACTTCGACAAATGGAGAAAGATTTGCACGCGTGGATCCTTGACTTACGGGGGGCAGCACGTTGCTGTCACCTGCAGGAGCATTATGCGGGAAGCTTTGCGTTTGGTGCAACTCCCAAAATATGGTTATAGTGAAGTTGATGTCTGGGGATTCAAGGCAGGGCAGCACTGGTGCCAACGATTTATGATCAGATTTGGCTTGGCACTGAGAAGAAGGACTTCTTGCCCGCAGAAGCTGCCTGTTGACCTTGCACCAAAAGTGGAAGAGTTCCAGGAATATACCAAAAAGCTATGCCAAGAGCTTGATGTGGGAGATGATCACTTGGACAATATGGATGAAACTCCTGTCTTTTTGGATATGCCCCACGAATTCAGTGTGGACACCAAGGGTGCCCATCACATCAATGTGCGCACGACAGGGCATCAGAAGAGTCGCGTGAGTGTTGTACTTTGTTGCAGTGCTTCAGGGCGCAAAGCAAAGCCCCTTGTTATTCTCAAGCGGAAAAACAACAAGCTGCCTAGGTTGCCAATTGGGGGGAGGTGGCCAGCAGGTGTGGAGATTGCATGTCATCAGAAAGGGTGGATGGATGTTGGGGGCATGCGGACATGGTTCAATCGCTGCTATTTGCCTTACCAACACTCCAGGTTGTTCTTCCGTACAGGCCGCACAGTTCTTACAATGGACAGTCTCAAATCGCATTTGGATTTTGAAGTCAAAAAAATGTACAGGCAGGCAGGGGCTCACATTGCGATTGTTCCCAGTGGTTGTACATCTGTGGTGCAACCATTGGATGTTGGGGTCAACAAAGTGTTCAAGGGTCACTTGCGAGGATATTGGAATGAGTGGATGGCAGATCGAGCCAACCATTCATACACAAATCAAAACAATCTGCGGGCACCACCTTTGTGGCTGGTGTGTCAGTGGATTGAGAGGGCTTGGGGTGCAATTCAGCCAAGCACTATTCAGAATGCTTTTCGCGCATGCAAGCTCATTGCATGTACTGAATATGTGTGGCAGAATGCTATGGATGATATCAAGAATGCACTGCACGAGGTTGAGGATCAGTTGGTGGCAGGACCTGATGATTTGGGAGAGGATTCGGAGGGTGTTGATGAGGATTTTGATGGCTTTGCATCAGATATGGATGTGGACAGCGATTGATTGTGAATGCATTTCTGCTTTTTTGGTTGGGATTTTGTGACTTTGACTTGGTGATGTGATTGTTGTTGTATTGCATCTTGCATGTTTTTAAGCCTATTTTGGGGTATTTCTCCGCCTATTTTCCAAAAATTTTCTTGTCTACTCCTTGGATCGGGGGTCTAAACCATGTTAGTATCCATGACCCACTATTAGTATCCACCGCCCAAATTTGGGGTCCAATACACGCCTACTAATACCGGGTAAATACGGTATGTATATTCATAGAGAAACGGCAAATCTGGGTAAATGCAAGTAATTCTGAAAGTACTTAAGGAAAATAGTATAAATGTTTATGTGCATAAATACACGTAAGCAATAAGCCAGGTTGGAGCATTGAAATATCCAGCACTTCAGTGTCTTATTTTGCCATTGTGTTAAGCACAGGCACTATGAGCAGAAATCCCTGCAAGATGTTCAACACCACCGGTTATTCTGGAATTCATACCTGCAGCTCCATAGCAAGGTCAAGGTAGTTGCTTGGGAAAAGAAAACCACCAGGATAAATAATCAGTGCACACTTTGGCCTGCCCTCGCACACGCCCCCATTGCATTCAAATGGATCTACAGCAAAGAGACACATACACAATTTGACCCTTATTGATATATACCACACACCATGGATGGTTCCTTTCCCCAAAGTGAGTCAATATGGAGGATGCACTGGTTTCTCAATTGATAATAGTTTTTAGCCGAACAGGACAGTGCATGTGTCATTTGAAAGCACATTTACAATTCAATATTTCAAATCAATGCGGCAATATGCACATCTACACATTGTGCATGCGCAATGACATAACAAAGATATGCCAAAAAGACATGGATTTGTGCAGCTGCAGCTACAATCCACACATATATATGTGCGGCAGTGTTTTTCCCTGCACGCACAAAAAGTGCAATATTGCCAACACCCAGGCGATGGTAAAGGGTGGCTCACTCTACACCAGAATGGGCATTTTGACCAACATCCCTTGGGGAAAAGATGTCTTATTCCTCACCCAGTATTAGCTCCTTGATGTTGGTCTGTAATGCTTCTGTCAAACCATTCCGCACTGCAGACCCATTCTGTGGCAGTTCTTCCTGTTGCCTGAGCTGTCTCCGAGGATGCCCACCCAGATGCAAAATATCTGTATCAACCTGTAGAAAACAACTGCTTTGAAATATCTCACGTCGATCTATTCCACACTACTATTGTATTGCAGCAAATAACCAATTGAAACTAGACAGCAAAGACAACGAAAAGAACCAAGAGAAATGAAACTGCAAAAGATAACCATCTGTTCGCTGACATGATCCTTACTTTGAACACGGGTTGCAGGTGAAGGTAAACAAAACAAACTAAAACGCAGTATCCTAAAGTCACAGAACCAATGACCACTGCAAGGTGATTCCTCCTTCATTTTTATTGCCCAGCATGATTTGGGTGGTTACAATAACTACAGCCCGGCTTTCTCATGCATATTAACAGCATGCTTTGGATCGACGCATACTTTCAGCTCTCTGTTTCAGTGCTCAGTCTGTTTCGTGACAAAATGGTTGTTTGGTATGGCGCAGCCCTGTTGCTGACCATTGCCAATGTCTTTTATGCCACATTTCCTTGAGAATTGTGTTACTGGCACCAAGATACAGTGATGCAAATGTTTGTTCTTCATTGATCAAATCGCCAATTATTCAGGTCCAATGAGGGGATGACCTGAGCAGCATTTTCTCATGAAACAGTAAATGACAAATTCCAATCATTTGGCAACTTGGTGCTCATAATGTGGAAAAAGCGTTTTAGGTATTCAATACAGCATGTCAGTGCTCTGCATTTGATCTCTTGATAACCATAGATTAATTGTCACTTGCCACATTTATGACATAACAAAAGCTCTTCTAATATCACCCATATACCCAGAAACAGAGAAAAGAGCTGTGCTATTTGTCGTGCGCAAGATTCTACTAGCTCTCAACTGTTGCATGTGCATTGCACTTTGCTGAGTGACCCTCATAGTAGCTTTGTGGAATGTGCCATGAATGGCCAAGCAACGCGATGCTGATTTGCTTTCTATTCCTTGTTGCAACTTTGCAA